CATTTGTCATTTTTCTTCCTTTTTAGAAGTTATTTAGGCTTGGGCAGCATCTTGGTTTGAAAAGCGGTTATTTAAAAGGAAAACAAAGCTTATTTATTCTTGTCTTTCAATGGAAAAGCAAGAGCTGATGTCTCTAAACCAGCCAGAACCCTTTACTGCTCAGTTTTTATTTAATTCTCAAGGTTTATAGCTTATTGGTGACCACTGCTCTTTCATTCGAAGCAAAAATTAAGCCGCACCAGGAGCGCTTTACCAAGAGCTATGGAACTTTTCAATTCCTCAATCTTGTTCAGTGACGTTCCTCCTCTGCATTGAAGAAGTACTGAACTCCTTTTTATAGTAAAGGAGAAATTCTTTGGGGAACTGAAAAGATATTGGGATCTGGATGCTTGTTTTATTTTTCTTGACACCCTGAGCAACCCCAGTTCCAGCACAGAGCCTTGCACCCTTGCCCTCGCCTCATCCCAGGCTGGAAATCCTGAAATGGGTCTGTATGGCACCCTGAGTTTCATGTATTACTGAACTGCAGCTGCTGAGAAATATTTTATTACAAAAACTAGATAAAACAGGGGATGAAACAAGTATTTTATGTGCCATCTGCCAGCCAGAAAATACCTTGCTGTGCTACGGCATGAAAGTCAAGTCAGAACAAGGTGGTTTTGAGCTCAAAGGAGCTGAAGTACAAAACAGAAAATCTGTTTACAAAGCAGGCTCTTTTGCTTTCCATACCAATATGCAGCAATTTGAGCTGGATTGAAACTCGGCGCCTTCCGCGACACATGCACCGCAAGGAGAGGTTGGTGCCCCTGGTTAGCGCCTGCGGACGGTGACGAAGGAGGGCTCCGCGGTGGCAGGGGCAAGAGGGAGGCCCGTGAATCACCCGTTCCCGGCAGGAATAGCTTCAAGTGAGATTCCCGAGGAGAAGCGGAGGTTCCCCCGTAGAATCTCTCCTATGGTGGGAGGCTGAGAGAGCTGCGAGTGTTTGAGCACAGGCTGAAATCCAAGGCATTCCGTTCAAATGTAAGAAGAAATACGGTTGCTGTAAGGATGGCCAAATGCTGAACCAGGCTTCCTGGAGAGGCTGTGGGGTCTCCCCCTTGGAGATGCTCCAGAGCGAGTTGTTGCTCGGCCTTCAGAAGGCTGCCAGGGCCGCTGCCTGCTCCTCTTGCTGTCAGTACCTGCTGTGGGAGCGTCCCTTCCCTTGGGTTTCATTTAGCAGCCCTGTTGTGCTCTGCTCGAAGCGGTTCCTGCAGGCGCCCGTGCTTCCATAGCCACCACAGCGAGCCGGGTCTCCTTGTCGCCATTTGGTGCTGGTTCAGGGACTGCTCCGAAGCTGCAGCCCCCTTTGCAGGGTGCTCTTCACTGTCCCAGGGGCAGAACTTCCTCCTAGATCAGCCATTCCCCATTCCGGGGGGGCTGTAGGAAGGAGTTCCATGTAACAGATGGACAGAGCAGTTCAATCCATGGAGGTGAAGGCAACATCACAGCAAGCAGGCTCCAGCTGGATGGCCAGCCCCACGCTTTCTCCTCCACTTCCATGCACACCCAGCAGCTTAAAACAAAGCTTCAAGGCCAGCACAGAAGCAGTCAGGAGCCATGTCCTCCCTTCCAGGCGTCAGCCCTGCCTCCCCAGGGCCCCAGCAGCAGCGG